GGGGTACAAGTGCCCCTATGCATCAGTACTCCTGTATCCCTTGGGTAAATTCCTAGCAGTGCTATTGCTGGGTCATAGGGTAGGTCTATTTTTAATTTTTTGAGGAACCTCCACACTGTTTTCCAGAGTGGCTGCACCAATTTGCATTCCCACCAACAGTGTATAAGGAGAGATTTTACAAGATTAATTGGTTATGCAACAATTAAACTCGGCAAGCATTTACGTTTCTATGTAACAGAAATGATGGATAACAAGATAAACACGGTTCCCAATCTTACTTAAGTTTTTATTTTGCGTGTATGAGAGAGAGAGAGAGAGAGAGAGAAAAAAATGAACGAGTGGGGGAGGGGCAGAGAGAGATAGAGAAAGGGAGAATTCCAAGGCTCTGCATGGTCAGCAATGCAGGGCTTGAACTCAGGAACCATTGAGATGGTGACCTGGGCTGAAATCACGATTTGGTGGCTTAACCCAATGAACCACCCAGGAGTCCCAATTACTAATCTTACAGAGAGAAAAGAAATAGCAACATAACGAAACTTTTCCAATCCTCAATTCTTTCAACATGGTAAATATTGAGCCCCAGGTCAGGGACATTGCTTTGTATCCACTCAGAAAGCAAGAACATCTCTCTCCATGTCCGCAAGCAAGACAACAAAACCCAGAACTTTGGATCACTAGACTCAGAAACAGAGGGCACGGGACTTAAGAATCACACTGGAGCATAAGCCTAACTGTACCGATGCCCATGTCCACGCAGTACTTTCTCACAAAGCCCTTTTGAAAACCCTACCGTTTATGCAAGTGTTCGTCCGCAACCCCTGAGAACTTGTTACAAATGGAAGTTCTTGGGCTCTACCCCAGACCTCCTGGATCAGAAACTCTGGGGGTAGGGCCCGACCATCTGTTTTAACAAGCCCCGCCGGTGACTCTGATGTGGGCTCCACTGGAGAACCGCTGGTCAAGGGCACAATAAGGTAAGGCCTGTCGTGAACCCCAGATCAGAAAGGAGTCGGGGGGGAAGCCAACCAGTTGGCGTGTAAAACACGCACAATGTTGTCCCCCGGCTTAAAAAACAGGTTTATGGAGAGGACATGATTTTGAAAGAACGAAAATCCTATGGCTTTTTGCTTTAGACGGCAAGAGAACTGAAAAAAGACATGATCTTTAAAAGTATGAGTTTATTCTCCAGGGTTTTACACACCCACAAATCAGTGCTTTTATTGCAGCTATATCCAGGAGCCAAACACAACGTACAATACGTACTTGTTGTATCATACATGTAACACTTGTAAGAGATAGAATGGAACAGCATGATTTTTAAAGATTAGTTTTCAATGATTCAGTAAGCATATGGAAATTGAGGATAATTACAGAAATCGGTATTGAACTCTAAAATAAAAACATAAATTATATAAAAATAAAAGGGTAAAAAGTGTTTCATTTAAAAACAAAAACAAAAAACAGTGGCTCATCATCTCTCTGTAGTTAGTAACCTAATGAAAACGAAAAGGAGTTAAGTATTATCTTCTCCATATTTAAAACAAAGTGGTTCTGTCCTTTTCACGAACAGCCAGCTGGAAGTCTGAAATGGAAGCCAGGGTTTGGGGTTCTGAACGTCTCAAATATTTTATTGCCCTGTGTTAGCTGATTCTTCTTCGTAACACTAAGAAATTTAAGTTGCTTGGATAGGAAAAACTCAAGAACTGGATGAGCAGTTAAATTAAATGAGATCCAGTGACTGGGACACCGTTACAAATGGCACCAAATCAGGACACACAAAGAGCTTAGTTCGAGGGCAAGCACGTTAAACAAAGACGAAAGAGGGTCATTTGAGAGCTTGACAACAATACATCTGGCCAAATGGCCTAGGTGTTTGCCAAGTACAAGGGTAACGAGTTAGTGAGTTAACGAGAAGCTAGATTCAAATTAGCTCCAATTTGGTTTACAAATGAACAATGCAAAATGATTTCATTTTCTATCCTTTTCATTCAGCAGAAAATTGAAACCATATTCTACTGCTAGTGTGAACTTCTGATGTTCCTGAACTTGCCACCACAGTTTTGGTTAGATTTTTAAAGATGAGTGGTAGCAGATGTTTGTCATCAATGTGACCGATACATAAATTTCCGAAGAACAGACTTGGATTTAATACTGGGTTATTACTCACAATGACTCAGCATAAATAGCAGAGGTCCCTACAATTGTCCCCAGCTCTGGATCACAGAACAGTTTAGTGACCACTAAATGAAAACAAATTATGAAAAAAATGTTATTTCCACAATGCCTTTTGTTCCCCCCTCCCTTCGTTTGGATTTTCAAAAAAGCAGACCTCCTACTTTCTTTACTTTAAATAACCTTCTAACATTGTTTCATTGTTCTGTTTTCCCTGAAATAAATCAAATTTTTTAAAAACTTCCAAAAATTTGCTCATATTAATTGATCTCAGATGTTTCTTTTGACAGTATAACTACTTTTGTTCACTTCTGTAAAAGAAATGTCAATACTGTACGATCTGCTTAGAGGATGGCTGAGTCCTCCTGGATCATTTTTAAAACGTGTTAGGTTGTTATCCAGTGTTCATGTAATGGAAATCAGTTCCTATAGAGTTAATGAATTTGGAACACTAATGATGTCATTAGACCTAGATGTGAAAGCCACGAACCTTATAAAAATGACTTTGCGTGTTAACCTGTGTCAACACGACGTCACTTGATTTTGTTCAGTAACTGGTCAAGACGGGGAACGGAAAGAATCGAGCTACTGTGATCGAAACCAGTTTGACTCAAGGAAAAAAAATTAAGTCTACATTAAGTCTTTAGCCTACCAATCACTCTCTACACTCAGTCTAGAGGCCTTTTGCCACAATACTAAAATACAAATTCTTCACAAATTACAACTCTATCCCAAATGTTCTGATATGCCCTATATTGTTTTATGTTGTTTTTGAAATTCTACTAAATAATTGATAGCTTTACAACAGAATTTCTTTTATTTAAAAAATACTTAAATCCCTATCCCACAAAATGTTCAGAAACACAGGTAACTATAGAAAGTCAATGTGCATATACTGCTTTTATTATAATAATGACGGTTGTTAGCTGAATGAGAACAAATAATAGCTAAAAAGTTTTCAAATGATAGAAAAACACATTTGGGTAAGTTATGACACAAGTTTTTGAGTACGTAGACCATAGAAATAGAAATTTTTTTTTTTTTGCACCAATTGCAAATGCAAAGTTAACGATAAAATCAGGGAAGTGAAAGGTCAAAAGGGGCCTTAAACATAGTCACTATCTTTTAAATTTTAGACAAAGGAGC